GGGTGCTATATCTAGAGTGGTAAACGAAGTAGCTGGTACCAGAATTGAGTCGAGTCGAGCCGTAACATGCAGTGAAAAAGCGGCTGACTGACTGAAGATGGTAATCAGTGAGTTTAATAGCCGCTGGACGGACTGTCTTAATCTGGGCTGTGGCACGGTTAAAGTTAAGGTCAGGTTAGGGTTAAGTTAAGTTATGTTATGTTAAGGTAAGGTCAGGTTAGGGTTATGTTAGGTTAAGGTTAGGTTAGGGTTATGTTAGGTTAAGGTTAGGTTAGGGTTATGTTAGGTTAAGGTTAGGGCAGGGATGTCCAAACCTTAAAAAGGGCCAGATTGGACCGTGTTAAAATACTGGGCCGAAATAATATACACAAATAATTCTAAATATCAACCTTAAATACAACGATATAGAGTAATTAATCATCTTGTCCGCGATCCATCCGATACGTATAAACCTGCTGCTAGAGGAGTTACGGCGCTGGCATGTTTGCGCTGGTCAGTGAAACACGTCAGCACTTCTGTGAGTTACTGAGTTTACGGTCACTGTATAAAATATTTACTGTTGGCCTGTCATTCAGAGCAGTTTGGATCAATAAGCATTTTAATTTTCGTACAGCACCAAAAAAGGGTTCTTCTATTGTTACAGCATTGACATTGTCACAGTAGAAGAACCCATTCTGGTGCTATATAGAACGCTTTTCAAAATAGATTCTATATAGAACCATCTACAGCACATTCTGAATCAATCTGAAGAACTCTTTCACCATGCAGAGAACCCTTTAATCATGTAAAGGGTTCTTTGAGTGTTCATGGTTCTATATAGAACCATTTTCTTTACTAAAGAACCTCTGAAGAACCATAATTTTTAAGAGTGCATGATCATTTATTACTTTTTTAGCATCCAGTTTTTCAGTCCCTGATGTTTGTCTCAGCTACACTGTAAACGAGGGTCACCCTCAGGGAACCCAGAGTTAAATAAAGGTTGATTGATTGATTAGTTGATTGATTGATTAGTGTAGGTGTGGGGCGGAGCAGCACGTGAGACGCAGGTTAGGAATAAACTCTGCAGGAGTGTAGACCCTCAGGAGGGCTGGAGACCCTGATCCACTGACGAGGTGCTTTGCTCCTCTGTATGTGAAATGGAAGTTGCTCTCTCTCCTGTGAGGTGACCCAAAAGTAAGGCAGCGGTTCTCTCGTCTCCGTCGCTCTAGATAGCGCCGCTCCCCCCAGACACTCAGCACCGCGCCGCAACTTCAGAATGTAGGCCAGCAACGGGAGACGGAGCCGCTGCTCGTTCATTATCCTGCATCAGGACAGCTTCACATTTACAGGACCGTATTTATCTCCTCCGACTGATTCTGACGCTGAGGATGAAACAGAACTTCTGATTGGTGTCTGAAACTTTTCCCTCAGAATGAGGTCACAGAAGCTCTCGGTCCAGCCGTCGCTGACCAGGGCTCTAACTGAACTTAGACTGACCCCATAACAGTCCAGTCTGTAACTTTATATCAAAGCTCTGTGAATTAGTGTTTCTGTGCATTAGTTTAAGGGGGAAAGTAAAATTAAATTAAATGGAATTAAACGTACCTCCTCTTCAGAAAGAAGGTGTGTTTGTTGTTGTAAAACTGTATCGTGCTGTGTTTGAAGCTCTCTGACTGTCCAGGAATGTCCAGAATCATTCAGACCACCGACTTTCTACCAGCTGCTGGATACAAACGAACCTCAGCAGAGAATCACTTAATATCTGTTAGTTTCTGTTAGTCGGGTTGCCTGAAAGATTAATCTGCTCTTATATGAAGGAGTAAATCAGCAGTGATGTGGAGTGAGAGATACATGATCCTGTCTCTCTCTCTCTCTCTCTCTCTCTCTCTCTCTCTCTCTCTCTCTCTCTCTCTCTGTCTCTTGTCCCTGTGTGGAGATGATCAGCAGTACAGAGCGGTTTTCTCGTTAGACAGTAGGTGGCGCTGTGTGCTGTAGTGATGATCTCTGCTCCTCTCTTCGTTCACAGAGCTGTCAGTCAGTTCAGCTTCTGCTGCATCACATCTTTAACTTTGTTGATCGTAATGATGGATGCAGAGTTCAGACTCTGCTCTTTTTACTTTCCCTCTTTTCCCTCTTTCCTCATCCCTCCCTCCTTTCTCATCTTTCTAAGACCGGCTCCCAAAGCGCCTGCCAGTGAGAAGAAGGAGCGTCCTACGAGCACCATGAGCGAGGCGTCCAACTACACCGGAGGCTCCGACTACACCGCGCAGCCCAGCAGCCCCACAGCCAGAGTGAGTGTTCATCACACCTGAACCGCCGTCCAGGGAGGTGCCCTCTAACAAAAGCAATATGGCAGGGGGCGCTATAACGACAGCCAAGCCTGTCCAGGTGGTCTCGTGTCGCCAGCGCGTTTCTCAACTGCCACAGCACACAAGCAGCTGAGTCTCACACAGAGCTGACTTACATAATCATAAAAATATGATCTATTGTGGCCTTTCAGTTCCAGCAGCAGAGCTGAAGTAGCTCACTCTCCTGTTTCTGGTCTAACCCAGAACGTACAGACAGCTGTTTGAGCGCTGGAGAAAACCGGAACAATCCTTTGTGAAATTCTGCTGCTTTAGAATGAACCAGCAGTAAAGATGGTGTTATATTTAGAGAACGAAGTGAGATTATTGTGTTAATGCTATATGAATACTTATCCATTTTCATCACTGAATATGTGATCATGATTATGCCTGATTCAGCGTTTTCGTCATGGTCAGATGGTTTGTTTTCTGTTTCTCTGCATTTTTAGCCCTCGAGGTCTTCAAAAAAAGTCCACAATTTTGGCAAGAGGTCCAACTCGATAAAGAGGAACCCAAACGCGCCGGTGGTGAAGAGCGGCTGGCTTTACAAACAGGTACGAGCAGCATCAGTTACTGGTGACTAAAGCACATTTACTTCAGTACTAATAAATAAGGATGAATCTGCAGACAGAAGAATTTGGCTTCTCTCCGACAGACGTGAACTCTGTAAGAAAACATCTTACAGTAGTTTATACACTGTGAAAAAAGGTTGAACGAACCCCGAGTTTAAATAAAGCTAAAAAAAAACCTGCCGATAGAATACGACACTTTCACTACATGAAATTACTTAAAACAAGTAAAAATGTACAGAAACAGGTGAAATAATGGGAATAATGAGGGATATTAGATGTATTAAGTACATTAAAGGTTACTTATTTTGTGCAGTGTGGTCACACTTTTGTGTTGATCTCTGAGGTCTCCTGTCCAGAGTGACCCTCTCTCCGTCTCGCAGGTCTTTTTTTAGACTGACTTTGTTTAAAATCAGAAAGATTCTCTGATGTCTGTCGACCATTAAAAACGATTCAGCCACTTTATGTTGATGCCAAGTGCTCTAGATTCCCCTATTATTAAACTGTGGGCCATTTTTAAGAACCTGGCTCTAACTGAGCTTCACTCTGGAGGAGAAAAAGTCCAGCACATGTGAACATTAGCGATGTTAGCAACATTAATACAGCGATGAATTATATTTGTCTCTGAGCTGAGGAGCGTTTTTAATCACACATGAGTAAATCTGTCCTGTTCAGCTGTCGCTCGCTCTCCAGTTCAGTTTTACTCCTTTATTGATTGGTTACCTCGTTATAAGCGGCACATAACGAGCGAAGCTTTTCAGCTGAAGCTGAACATTTAAACTTGACTGAGTTGAAACTCCAGTGAGGCTGTTTAGTTGAATTATTGGTGCATTTAGAAACACAGGAGTGATTCTGGGCAACATCAGCCACTGATTACAGAGACTGGAAGATCCTGTTTACTCTTCCGCATTAACGAACACGGAAGTGTGAGAATGTTCTATAACTTTAATGGGATATTTATGACTTACTTCTCTTGATTGTTCAACATTAATCAAAGCTGATTTGTAGGCCAGAGCTTGAATGAGTTAAAATCCTCTCAGTGCGTCTCTTAAACCTGACGTCCCCTTTAATGTTGTGTTTACGACGGAACGCAGAACCACAGCACACAAACTCACATAGTGTGTTTTTGTTAGCAGCAGCCGTTTGAAAGCTGTTAATTTGCTCCGTGGTGGTAACTTTAGAGGCGCTCGCTCTGTTTAAAGCGTTCATAATGAAGGACTCCGTAAAGCAGCCGCTCTGTCCAGCTTTGTTGTGTAAATGATGGTAAATGTGAAAGGCTGTTACGGTGGAAAGCACGACTCGTCTTTAAAGAAGAGCGCGAGGGTAAAGATGCTGAGTGGAGAAACGTGGAGCTGCGTGGACGATTTTATCTGCGTCTGAAGGAAAGAGCAGCTCTGTTTTGTCGTTCAGAGATAAAGAAGGCAATTTGCTGCAGTGTGACAAGATAAAGACTCTTAATTGAGTGTGTCAGAAAGCACACAAGGAGCTAAGGGGGTTCAGGGGGGCTGATGGGAGGATTTGGCAGCCCACGCTGTGCTGTGATTGGTTTATGATTGATGGATGTGAACTGTGGACTCTTGCAGGACAGCACAGGGATGAAGATGTGGAAGAAGAGGTGGTTTGTGCTGTCGGACATGTGCCTGTTCTATTACAGAGGTGAGCTTCCTGCCTGCCTGTCTGCCAGCCTGTCTGTCTACCTGCCTGCCTGCCTGTCTGAATGCCTGTCCCTATGTCTGTTTATCTCCCCACAGAGCCTGATTTGCTTAAAGCCCTCAGCAGATATAAAAGAGAAAAGAATAAGACAGAAGAATTAGAGATTATGAGATATTAAGATGGACGATGTTCTCATCAGTGATATTATGTTAAATTAATCTCCAGCTAAAAATGATTTTTAATGCGCACTGAAAGCTTTGACGCGTCTGATGTTGGATTAAGAGCAGCTCTTTTCAGCTCTGAGGCTCATTAATGCTCAGATGTTTAAGTCTGACCGATTCCATTAACGGTTTTGGCTGCTGAATAAATTATTTTACACTCTCCCACTCAGAGAGTCGCGCGAGAGGAAGTGAGAGTGAGATTAAAAGCAGAAATTCAGATGCTGGAACAGCAT